ATGCACTTTGTTGGAGAAGGGTGTTGATGCCATATTGTTGCTTTAATCTTGGGAGGAGAGACAGAGAGCCTATAATTATTTGCTTATAAACTTGTTAAACATATTTTCTTAGAATTTATCAAATTCTTATTTTGATTTCAAGAGTGTTTTGTTTTCTTGCTCAGCAATAATGAGGATATGAAGAGAATGTGGTACTTCCTTTGCTTCTGCATCTCCTGTGCTGGTAATAGTACTAATATCGAATTGTGTGCCGTGTTATTGCACTCTAACAATGCTTATTTTTTGCCATATTGTCAAAAATTGGGTTAGATAGGTAAATAAACAAAGAAAACACTGCTGGCTTCCTTGACATTGAGTGCTAAGTTGGTTTGGGAACAATTTTGATCGACAGCTGGTTTAACCAAGTATTTCACTTGTAAGAAATAAGGAAAATGAGGATCCATCCAAGGCTTGTGATCCTTGGGTATTTATTACTGCCTATGTACATGGTTTTTTTTGTGGTGCCTGAAGATATGTAAGATTTAAATATGAAAATCTCCAAGCAAAACACAGATCTTGAAAATTAGGCTTTTCATAGTTTCCAGTTTTAGTTTAAACTGAATTTTTAAAAAATATATGTTTTTATTGATTTCACAGAGAGAAAGGAAGAGGGAGAGAGAGATAGAAACATCAATGATGAGAAAGAATCAGCTATCGTCTGCCTCCTGCACGCCTCCTACTGGGGATTGAGCCCATGACCCTGACCTGGACTCCAACTGTGAACCTCCTGGTTCACAGCTGGACGCTCAACCACTGAACCACACTCACTGGGCTAAACTGAATTTTTATTATAATGTGGTCATAACCTTATCTTAAAATTTAGGGTGGTTAGTTTTATGTGTGGAAGGTTGTGTTTTTGGGTGGAGAGTGGAATTATGAACTTCCATTTTCTTGATTAGTGCTTTTTAGAAACTTGAGTTTCTAAAGCTTTGTTTTTCCTGGAAAGTAAACCAGTGAAAGATACCCATTTACCTTACAACATCCCACTTGGGATGCAAGCAGACTCCTGCCTTTCTAACCTTTTTTACAAAGAGCATCAATTTTGAAATAAAAATAAAAACTTGCTACAGAATGGTAAATGCAAAACATTGATATCACAGATAATTTGCCTCTTATGTTATTATTAAGTACCTTTAACATTTTATTACACACCAGCTGTGTGCTAGAGGAATTTTGTCAAAATAACCTTTTTGAAAGCAAGATACATTTGCCTATAGCACTTGAGACTATTTGGTACTGTTAGATGTCTCTTCTTTGAGGAGTTAAATTTTTTTCACTAGGCCCTTCCTCAGTTTAGATAAACTGCAGGACGTTCAAAATGTAGTTACAACTTTTCATGTATTGGTAGTGTTTTAGATGTAATTTTAGAGATCACTTCAGGCTTGTTATTTAATTTTATTACACATAGTGCTTGTCTCAGTGATCTTACAGTGTTTTGGTTTGGCTTGGAGAGTGGTATTAAGCTAGATAGCTGCTCCATGTTAGTGAGTGGACAGCAGAGTTTGCTGACAGTGTGCAGTGCAGTTTTGTTGTATAGGTTAAATCAGGTATATTGAGGCCCTGTCACTTGCTAGATCATGTGCTTCATTTTGAGGAAGAAAACATTAAATTATACCCTACCCACTTTTGGGAAGCATGCTGTCTAGTGAAAGAAGAGAGTTAACATAATAGTACAAGGCAGAGCTATCAGAAGTACCTAAAAGTTTAGCGAAAGAAGTGATAGCTGGTTGAATGGTAGGTGGGCAGGGGAACCTTCAAGAGCGTAGAGGAATTAGATTGATTGAGTCCTTTTGAACAATGAGCAGAGTTTTGAAGGATAGAAATAAGGGGTATAAAAAAGATGGGTGAGGTGAAGAAAAATAAATGGTTGTGAAGTGGATTGATAAGTGGTCTTGTTTTAGCATAGGGTGCTTGCATATGACATAAAAGGAACTGAGATGGAAAGATAAGTTTTTAGCTAAATTATGGAGGACTTTGAATGCTACAGAATAAAATTAGCCATGGAAAATTTGAGGCAGGAAAGTCCTTTAGGAAAGCCATTGTGCAGGCACAGTTTAGGAAGGATTTGGAAGTGAGGAGGACCATTTTGGAGATTACTGCAGTGCTGATACTGAGGATTACTTAAAAAACCTCACCTCATATCCTTTCTGGGAAGCTTTTCCTAACATTTTCCTCACTCCCATTAAGATTTGCCTGTGCTCTTGTGGCGTAGCTGCATTTTTACGTGTCTTTCTTATGAGCTCCTTATGATGGGAACTGTGTCTTATTTTACTTTATATCTCCAGTGCCAGGCACAGTACCAGTAAATGGTTAAATAAAGGGAAGATCTGAACCACAATGGTGTCTTTAGAAAGGGAAAAGGGTCCGTGTAGAAGAGCTGTGTTAGAGGCAGGATGAACAGAACTTGATTCTGTTGATTACAGGGGATAGGAAGGAGTCCAGGATGACCCTGTTGTAATGCTGCTGCTGGCTAACACTTACCGACTGTGTGCCAAACTGTTATAAGTGCTTCACCTGTGTGTATCCTGCACAACATCCCCGAGGCAGGTGCTATTCAGCCTCACACATACATGGAGGAACTAGGCCCAAGTTTACAAATCTGGTAAGTCTGAGTCCAGAGTTTGTGCCCTTAACATTTTACTTATGAAAGATTGAGAGTTACCACCCAAGGTCCAGAGGACACGCTAGTTAGTGAGGCATTTTAGACCTATTGGATTTGAGTAGCTCGCAGACATTCGCTGACAATGTCCAGGAGCAGTTTGAGAATAGGTTGGAACCTATGAGAGGACCAAGGTTGAAGATCAGGAATTGGGAGTCATCTCAGTACAATAAAGGTGCTGATTTTCTTCCTGCGGGAGAGATTGTTAAACTTGGGGAGATGGAAGTTGATGTGAGGATGGAGGGCAAAGACATCTGGGAGAGGGAAGTGGAATGGAGAGCTGACGGCAGAAGGGCAGTGCTGGAGGGATGTCGCTGTGGGTAGCTTGCTAATTTGAAAACTCAGGTGTGGAGGCCTTTCACTTAAAGTAACGTAGGAGCAGCCAGGAACGAACAAGTTTTTATTCTCAGCCACCAAGATACAGGGCCATATGGCACGAGTGTGGTTGGCTTCACCTTTATCTTAACCTCCTCAGCAGCAGTCAGAACGATCCGTTTTCCTTTGAGATTTTCTTGCTGTCCTTCCCCACATCTGTACTATCACTTTCTTTACTCTGAGATAAATATTTTTTTTGCTGCTTTAGTTCCTCAAACCTCCCTTACTCTACCCTTTCATTTCTTGCTTTTGGGTCTTTTCATTTGGATGAGGAATTGTTCTGTAGACTTCAGAAGATCTTTAAGCATTAATTTGTTGTTTTTAAGTTTAAAAGAAAATAAAAACTTAAGCCCAGCTCCAGGTTAAGAGGGAGAGGCTCAGCTTCTGAAGTAGCATTAATTATATTTATTGTTTATAGAAATTGGCTATTCTTTTAAAATCTTATTAACTACTGTTTGAATTTAACTTCTCTATCAGTGGAAAATATATGGTTTGGACTAAATATGACCAGTGTCATCTTTGGGAAATCGAAATCAACTGATGCCTCTTCTTAAGCCATGCATTCTGTTATTTTTAAATCCTAGAAATGATTTGGATGTGGTGGCATAGAAGACAGGCTAGCACATTAGCTACTCTTGTGTTCTTCTAGGTAAACTTTAGGGTTATTTTTGGCAGTTTCCTTTGTCTCCTTGCAAAGATTTCCCTTTGGGATTTTGAGCTGTTGAATGAAATTGTATTCGATAAGTAAATAAATTTGGGTATAGTGGACATTTTCTTAATGAGTTTTCTCATGCAGGAATTCGATGAGTCTTTTCAAAAGGTGACTTAAATAACTGAATCCTTCTGTAAAGTTTGTTTTCTTCACACAGGTTGTATACATTTTCTTTATTTAGTTCCTGGGTGCTTTATATTTTTTGTTCCTGTTATGATTAGGATATTATTTTTGTTACCGCTATTTTGGGAGGCAGTTGATTTTTTACCCCCCAGACCATTCAGTCTTTTGACTGAACTTTTTTTATTTTCTAAGAGAAATTATTTATTCTCTTGGATTTTCTGCAAATGGGCACATTTCAAATTGTATTTCACAGAGTTAATTTAAATATCAAACAATTTCTTGTTTCATACTATCTTGCTGTTTAAGAAAGGTTAGCTGGGAGAAGAAAGTGAATGAGGAGGATCACAGTAAAAGTTGGGGACAGAAAAATGATGCATAGAATGGAGGTGGGAGGTGTCTAGGTGTGTGGTTGTTTTGGGCTGATTTTGACTAGGAACCAGTAAAGTGGAGTTCAGAAGCATAAACTGATTCAGTATAAAATGCAACCCACTGTTCTTAGCCTTACGTTTAGGCAAGATAAGTAAAGTAATACTGTGTGGATCCATATGAATCTTATTTAAATAGCCTTGCAGCTTGGCTTTTTTGTCCTTAGATGCTTAGGGAAAAACCAATAAAATGTTGCATGCTGTATGTAATCTGAAATTGGAACTGTAGATCAAGTAAGAGGAAAAAAGATGAAATTTTGAGAGTTGACTTTGTTGGCAAGTGCCGTGACTTGAAGACTGAACTCTTACTTGTGGAATAGTCGGCATCGGTGGCATGCCAAAGTAGAAGCAGCCCCTTAAAACAAGTTGCAGGGCGCTGGCTGGGTGCTCAGTTGGTTAGAGCATTGTCCTCATTAGCCAAGGTTGTGGGTTTGATCCCTGGTCAGGGCACATACAAGAAACCACTAATGAATGCATAAATGAGTGGAATAGCAAAGCGATGTTTCTCTCCCTCTCCCTCCCCCCTCAAGTCAATCAACGAATAAAGGAAGAATTTTAAAAAGTTGCCAGTGGAGGCCTGTGGTGGATTTGATAATGAGTTTGTTTTTCTTGAATTTTTTCTGCAGTAGAATTTGTACCTTTTGCTAGAGAGCTAGAGTTTACATGTGGATTTCTTGCTATTAGTTAGAATCTGCTTATATGACTTTGAGTGGTTGGAGAAAGGAGGGGAGGTTTCTTTGCTGTGTATTAAGTTGCTGCTAGTCAGTGTTAACAGCAGTGAACAGTATATCTTATGACCATCATTTGTGTCATATTTTGGAAAATATGCATTCTGAATTTTAAAGAATGGACTTGCACATTTATTTTGGATCACACCTCTTTTGTAAGTCAGAGATTGCCCTTTGGTTTTATTAGCTGAGAAGAAATTGCTACAAGTTTCGAAAAATTAAGTCTGAGAAAACTGAGTATGAGAAACACTTATTTTGTTGGTAGAGTGAGACATTTTCCTATCATTTAATATTCACTTTTATTTTTCATACTTGCAGACAAGATCGTCAGATGTTCATTCATCTGGATCTTCAGATGCGCATGTGAGTATAAAAGGCAGTCTTTTCTTTAAAATTTAATTTCTCTTTGTTTATATCCCTACCCTTTGGTTTTACTTGATAAGTCAATACAATTATAATGTAGATGCCTATTTTTTTTGACCTTTTTTGTTAGGTGCCCTTCTTTTCTTGTTTTGTTCGCATAAGTTGGCCTTCAGCCATGTTAGAAATCTAGTATGTGCCTTTCCTTTTTCTATCGTGCTTATAAAATTCTGTACATACAGAAAGGTGTGGACTTACACATTGACTATGGTGTTGCATTATACACAGTCATTATTTTCTCATTGCACAGTGTATCTTTTGGAAATCCCTGCAAGTCAATGGGCATAGCTCTAATCTAGTCTTTCTAATGGCATCATAATGTTCCACAAGGGGAGGTACAGTTATTTATTAAGGTATTTCTCTGTTGATGGGCATATACTTTTTGTTTAAAGGGTTTTGGTATTTTGTATAGTCCTTCAATGAGCATTCTTTACATATGTTATTACAGCAGTACTCAAAGTACGGTCTTCAGACCCCTGAGAGTCAATGAGAATCTTTCAGGGGGTCTGTGAGTTCAAAACTATTTTATAATAACAAACACTAAGACGTTATTGACCTTTTTCACTGTGTTGACATTTACACTTACAGAGAAAAAGCAATTGATGGGTAAAATGCTGGCACCTGAGCACGAATCAAGGCAGTGTTGCCAAAATGTATTAGTAGTCATTGTATTCTTTCCCACAGGCACAGTAAAAATATGCTAGTCTCTTAAGAATGTTCTTCATGAAGTAGTAAAATTACTAATATTAGATCTTGTCCTTTTGTATGAGTCTTTCATGTTGTATGAGATGAAATGGCAGCAGTGCAGATTACCAAAGTGTGATGTTTGTCTTGAAAAAAGTACTTGTGGGACTGTTTAAATTGAGAAATGAGCCTGGCTTCTTTTTTCATGGGATACCATTTTTGTTTGAAGGAGCAACTGACAGGCAGCGTATGGTTAATGAGATTTGGGCACTTGGCAGATATTGTCTTGAAAACGAAGGAATTGAACCTGTTACTTCCAAGTGAACAGCTACTTGTTACTGATACAAAATTGGAGCTTTCATTGAAAACTTTCCCCATAGCTAAGGACCTTTCTGATGAAATTGATGGTGATGTTAAGGACTGAGAGGTTTGATAGTGTAGAATAAAATTTATCATTATTTGGACATTTGGGTTATTTCTCATTTTCAGTACTACATATGTGATTTTTAAAAACTTGTTTTACTTTTCCTGAAGATGGATGCATCCGGACCCTCAGATAGTGATATGCCTAGCCGGACACGACCTAAGAGCCCAAGAAAACATAATTATAGGAATGAAAATGCCCGTGAGAGCCTTTGTGATTCTCCTCACCAGGCTATCTCAAGAGTAAGTACATATAATAAAGTAGAGTTAATGGTTTTAATCTGTACTTTAATTTGGTGGTTGGATATCTTGGTTTTGTACTTGTTGTTGTTTCATCTTGCACTGTTTGAAAATAGCATTCTTTGTTGTATTTGGATTAACAATAAACTTAAGTTTATCTAAGGGAATGATTTTTAGCTCATAAGTGAGGTATACTTTATTTAAAAATTTAAAATTTTACTTAAAAAACCATAGAGTGTTTTGAATGTAAAATCAGTCCTTAATTTCCTTAACCATACCCCTCTTGGGCTTAGATCTTAGGATGTAAATAAAATTTGAACCCAAACATATTGTTTTGTAAAATTATGTCTTTCATTGGATTTACATGTGATTTTACAATTTGTTTCAACTTTTTAAGTTGAAACCAAAGATGCTGACTGAATGATGGCAAAACATTTTTCTTCCCATCTCAGAGAAAAAATTATTTTTAATCTGTTCCTGAAACCCACTACTGACTTTTGGATTTTAAAACTGCTTTGTATTTTCAAAAGGAATTTAATAACTTTAAAATAGTTTACAGCAATATTACTCTTTCATTCTGCATATTGCAAGGGCAAGCTTTTTAGGGATTGATCAAGTTTAATTTTTCAATTGGTTAACTTCTCATTTTAGCAGGTGCTAGGGAAACCTTACAGATTTCAATTGCAGATTAATATTTTAGGTTGTATTTAATAAACATTTCTTTTAAGTTATGAATCAAAATCTAGCATTTAAATGATTAAGAACAACTAAAGGTCTACAGTTTATTCAAACCATATTTCAGAAGGAAATACTGTTTGCTCATATTTAAAATTAATCAATGAATGTTTACTTGTGCAGAAATATAAAATACTGTACATGATATATTCCCAGCAAAGAAAATGTAATTATTACTTTTATGAACATCAGTATTGTCGATGAAGGATGAGGTGATTTCAAGTGCTTATCAATAGATGAATGTGTAAAAAAGTGGTACATACATACGATGGAATATTACTCAGCCATAAAAAAATGAATGAAATCTTACCATTTGTGACAGCGTGACTGAACCTAGTGGATATTAGGCTAAGTTAAATAAGTCAGAGAAAGACACATACCACATGATTTCACTTATATATGGAAGCTAAAGAACAGATTAAATGAACAAGCAAAATTGAAATAGACTCATAGACACAGAGAACAGACTGATGGTTGCCAGATGGGAGAGGGCTGAGGAACTGGGTGAAAAAGGTGAAGGGTTAAGAAGTACAGATTGGTAATAACAGAGCAGTCACAGGGATATAAAGACAGCACAGGGAACATAGTCAATACTGTAATAACTGTGGGTGGGGCCAGGTGGGTACTGGAAATATTGGAGGAGACCACTTTGTAAAGTATATGATTGTCTAACCACTGTGCTATACACTTGAAACTAATACAAAATAATATTGAATGTAAAATGTAATTTTAAAAAAAGGAGAAAATAGGAAAACATTGAAAAAAAGAGTGAGGTGACTAACTGCATTATACAGGGACGTGATGTGGTTGTAGTGCCCGAGCTGGAGGTTGTAGGTGGTAGATTTAGGCTGCTGACCCAGGGAGGTATATGCCTCCCCTGTGTTCAGAATGGCTGTTTTCTGTGCTGCTGCTTTCGCTCAGAAACGTCTGAGCTTTTCCTCAAGTGCTTTTATTATTGCTGCCAACAAGCAATTGAATGAGTTGAAGCCTTTTTTACATTCTGTTTTAAATGGCTCTGTATGTTACTGACCTTCAGCTAGCAGATGAAGATATTCTTTAATGAATACTTATATCAGATTTCAGCTGTAAGGCAGGCAGGCACCTCATGCTTAGAGCACCTTCAGCTCTTCTTTACAATGAATTATCATCTTTTTTTAAAGTTGTCTATTCTGAAGATTTGGTTACCGCTTTAGGTGTATCAGTTGAGTTATAGATAGCATTAAGACCATATGTAAAGATATGCTTTTTATTTCTTTTCATAGCCTCTTCTAGAAAACAAACTTAAAGCATTCAGTATTGGAAAAATGAGTACAGCTAAGAGAACTTTAAGTAAGAAGGAGCAAGAAGAATTGAAGAAAAAGGTAACATTTAAAATGTAGTTTGAGTAATCCTTGGAAATGTATCTAAAGGGGGCACTAAGTGTATAGCAGTAGAGAGATGTTTTTTCAGCTGTTTTTGACTTCCACAGTATTCGGTATTCGCAGCTGCCACCTCCAAGTCGAGTCTATGACACAAGGTATATTCAGAGGAGTCCAGCTTCTATCCCTGTCTCCTCCACTGTTTTTTCCTACTGTGTAACAGTTTTGATTATTTTCTGGTCTATTTTTTATAAGCAGGTGTGTACATGTATATTGCACCCCACTCCTCTCTCTCAGGTGCGCAGTAGCATGTTATATACAGTACACCTTTCTCCACCTTGCTTTTTTCACTTAACATCATGTCTCAGATTACTACAAGTATATTGAGATATTTCTTGTTTTTTTTTAAGTATCGATGTAGTTAGGCAATAGTTTATTCAACTAAAATCCTATTTGAGGGCATTTGTGTGTTGGCCTTTTGCCATTTCAAATAATGCTGTTAGGGATAGCATTATACACACGGTATTATTGCTAGTGTCTCATTGGGACATACTCCTATGAGTGAGATTACTGGGTTGATGGTAAATGCATAAATGTAGCTCTGCTAAATATTGTCAAATTGCTCTCTGAAAGGATAGGGCCAATTTGCTTTCCTGTCAGCAGTTTCCCCATAGCCTGTCAACAAAGGATGTTATCAAAGAAGTTTTGCCAATCTGCTGGTTGGTTGCATTTCTCTTATAAATAAGGTTGAGTGGCTTTTCTTTGTTTCTGTGAACCCTCTGCTCATTAACTAAACTAATCTTTCTATTAGTAGGTTATCTATATTTTTAGAAACTTTGTATACTAAGTATTTTAGCACTTTGTCTATGATACAAGGTGTAATGTTTTGTCCCCGTTTGTTGGTTGTCTTTTTATTTTGCTTCTGGTGTTTTTTTTCATTTAGAAAGTACTTATTATTATATAATCAGATTTATTTGTCCTTCCCTGAGGGTTTCTGTTTTTTCAGTCAAGTTTTTCCTATTCCCAGTTTATAAAGGAATTTCCTTATTTTTTTCCTAATACTTACATGGTTTTATTTCTTTTAAAAATTAAATCTGATTCGTTTGCAATTTCTACTTGTGTATAATGTGAATAATTGGTTCATTTTTATCTTTTCTCAAATAGCTATCAGGGTACCTCTACCACCATTGATTGAAAAGTCTATTCTTCACTGATTTGAGATGCCACTTTATTGAATACTAAATTTCTGTATGCTGTTGGATTTATTTCTGTATTTTCTACTCTTTTCCATTGGCCCTTCTAGTCATACATTTTGAGGACATTTAGCATAGTTATAATGGAAATTGTCAAGGTTCTGAGCTTTTCTTTAATGCCAACTGTCTGGAAATAATGCTTCAATTTTCTAATATTTATGTCTTTGGTGGTTTTAAAGGAAATCTTGGTGTTTGTATTCACTGAGTTAAATCATCATGCCTTGTAAACAATACAAACATTAATAGAATACTATATTTTATATAGTCAATTGTCATACAGTTTGACCCTTGAATTGTTGCTAAACAAATTTACTTAGTGGTCCTTCTCTGGTTCTGCCAATTAGCAGTAGAAGAGCACAGCCTCTGTTAGTTTCAGCGCTAATTAATATCTAGTGTCTATTAGGGTTGGGTATTCCCTGTCGTGACTGCTTCCTCTTCCCCAGCGAGGGAGGGGCCCGTTTGCATTACTCCTTGGTGGGTTAGCCCTGTGTGCAGTGGTGACTCCGGTACTGAGTGATGCTACTGTGTTCATGCGTGTCTAGGAGGATGAGAAAGCTGCTGCTGAGATTTATGAGGAATTCCTTGCTGCTTTTGAAGGAAGTGATGGTAATAAGGTGAAGACGTTTGTGCGCGGAGGTGTTGTTAATGCAGCTAAAGGTAAGCGTGAATATTACAGCACTTGAGTAAACCCAGAAGCTTTGGTTGAATGACCAAGATAATTATGAAAGAAGTTTAGTTGCTTTGAATTTAAGGTTTCCTTCCTATCAGCACCCTCTAGTGGTGATATTAATTAGAAAATAAGTGGCCAAATGTGGATTAGTGAGAAATTGGAGCCAGATAAGTTTTGTTTTTTTTTTGTTTGTTTTTTAGATAGGTTTTTATTGATTTCGAAGAGAGGAAGGGAGAGGGAGATAGAAACATCAATGATGAGAATCATTGATCGGCTGCTTCCTGCACATTCCCTGCTGGGGATCGAGCCCCAACCCTGGCATGTGCCCTGACCAGGAATCGAACCCTGATCACCTGGATGCTCAACCTTTGAACCACACCTGCCTGGTAGAGCCTGATAAGTTTTAAAAATACTACCTTTCAAGTTTTAAGACAGCAGAATACTGCAAAAATTTTAATATATTTCATAGTTTTACTATAAAATTGCTAAATTAGTATTTTTGAGAGTAGAGTAGTAATATATGACTTTAACTTCATATTTGGTCAGTAGTGATATATCTTAGTACTAAAAGCATTTTATTTTTATTTTAAAATAAAAATAAGTAAAATTCAAATAATGTGAAATTATTATTGAAACTTAGTATTTTAAATTTCAGAAGAACATGAGACAGATGAAAAAAGAGGCAAAATCTATAAGCCATCTTCAAGATTTGCAGATCAAAAAAACCCTCCAAGTCAGTCATCTAATGAAAGACCACCATCTCTTCTTGTGATAGAAACCAAAAAACCTGTAAGTTATACTTAAATAAGTGACCACTTATGTTGACATGACACTGCCAATGGTACTTTCAGTACTTCCACTGTAAGCAGGACTTTGGTTTCTTTTTAATTTTTTGGGGAGAAGATGTTGAGTTTTGAACCTTAATCTTCCTAGATGAGAGAGAATAAATTAGAGTAGGACGTGTAGATAATAGTTTGTGATCTTTGAGCACTGAGCATTTGCTATTACTATATTCAGCATATTGCACATGAAAAGCTGACAGTATTTTAGGTGTGAGTGTAAAATAATGGGATTGTATTTTTAAATGATTTTGAGCTGAGGTATTTAAATTATATTCCTTGGAAGACTAAATGTCCTCCCACAGTATGTCTGGTACCTCTAGTACATTTTTGGGATTTATTTGTAATTATTATCAGAACTAGTGACACTTTCTTTTAAGTATTCTCAATGTTAGAAAAGTTTTTATTTTCTGAGGGTGAGTTTTTTATGTGGGAAGGTAGGTAGATGTCATTTAGAATCAGGTTTGTTGAAGGAGTACAACTACAATGAAAAAGGAGGCTGGTATTTCTTGTGTGACTTTTTTTAAAATATATTTTTATTGATTTTAGAGAGAGTGAGGTAGAGGGAGAGAGAGAGAGAAACATCAGTGATGAGAGAGAGTCATTGATCAGCTGCCTCCTGCATGCCCCCCTGCAGGGGATCTAGCCCACAACCTGGGCATATGCCCTGACTGGGAATTGAACCATGATCTCCTGGATCATAAGTCGATGCTCAACTGCTGAGCCATGCCAGCCAGGCATCTTGTGTGACTTTTAAAATAGCTCTGAAAGCAATTTTAAAAAATGACAGCTTTATTAAGATATAATTCACATGCCATAAAATTCATCCTTATAAAATACAATTAAGTTATTTTATTTTTTAGTATCTTTGTAGTTGTGCAGCAATCACTGACCTCTAATTTCAGAACATTTTTATTATTCCAGAAAGGAATCTTATACCTATTTTTAGTGATCGCCAACTCCTGTCAACCACTAATCTACTTTCTGTCTTTGGATTTGTCAGTTCTGGATATTTTCTGCAGATGGAATCATACAACACCCTGCCTTTTGTGTCTGGCTTCTTAGCATAATGAGTTCATCTCTGTTGTGGCATATATCAGTACTTGATTCCTTTTTATGATTGGATAATATTCCATATTATGGATATACCACATATTGTTTATCCATTTATCACTTGATGGACATTTGGGTTGTTTTCATTTTTGGCTATTAGACTAATGCTGCTATAAGGCATCCACATATAGGCTTTTGTGTGGACATACGTTTTTGGTTCTTTTATATATACCTCAGAGTGGATTTGCTGGGTCATATGGTAGCTGTTTGTTTAACTTTTTGAGAAACTGCCAAATTATTTTTCCAAAGTAGCTGTCCCTGTTAAGTCCTATTAGCAATGTATGAAGGTTCCGATTACTCCATAACTTCATGCACACTTGTTACAGTTGTCTGTTTTCATTATGTCACCTTGGGTGTGAAGTTGAACCTGACTGTGGTTTGATTTACACTTTCCTAGTGATGCAGAACATTCTTTTTTTTAATCTTCACCCGAGGGTATTTTTTTCCATTCATTTCAGAGAGAGTTGGGGGGAGGCAGAGGGAGAGAGGGAGAAACATCGATGTGAGAGACACGTCAGTTGGTTGCCTCCTGCACGCGCCCCGACAAAGGCCTGGAATTGAGCGTGCCACCGACGTACCTGCCCTTGGCCAGAATCAAACCCAGGACCCTTCGGTCCACTGGCTGACGCTCTAACCACTGAGCCAAACTGCCCAGGGCTGAACACTTTTATTCGTAGTCTTCTGTGGAAATGTCATTATGGATTCTTGGCCCATGTTTTAATTTGCTTACTCATCTTTTGTTATTGGGTTGTAAGAACATTTTACATCTTCTGGAGTCAGGTTTCTTATCAGCTATGTGATTTGCAAATGTTTTCTCCCATTCTGTGGGTTATCTGTGCACATTCTTGATGGTGTCCTTTGAAGCATTCAAGTTTGATTTTGACGAAGTTTGGTTTATCAATTTCTTTTGTCACTTGTGCTTTTGATGTGTTTAAGAAATTGTTGCCTAATTAAAGGTTATGAAGATTCACTCCTGTATTTTTCTCTAGGAATTTTCTAGTTTTAGCTCCTGTGGTTAGATCTGTGAAACCAGTTGGTGAATTTTTTTTTTTATACAGGGGTGGGCAAAAGTAGGTTTACAGTTGTGAGTACGTGAAACAGTTCATTCTTGCAGTATTATTTAGGAATTATTGTATTATTTACATTCTTACAGCTGCAGACCAACTTTTGCTCACCACCGAGTGGTATGAAGTGGAGTTCCAACTTGGTTCTTTTTTGTATGTGGCTATTTAGTTGTCTTAGTACCATTTGTTAAAAAGACTGTCTTCGCCTTTGAATTATTTTGGTACTTTTAAAAGGTTATTCCAAAAGCAGTTTTGAAAATAATTTTGTAAAAGAAATGCCAAAGATGTTACCAATTGTTTCAGTAATTCATATCCTCCCAAGGTTATTGTTTTGAAGAATGCGTATTTTTAGTAGGTCATGGCAGTTACTTTATGTTCATTAATTTTTCCCCCTGTTGCCCTGGCTGGGTAGCTCAGTTGGTTAGAGCATTGTCCCAGTACCCCAAGGTTGTGGGTTCGATCCCAAGTCAGGGCACACACAAGAATCAACCAATGAATGCATAAATAAGTGGAACCACAAGTTGATATCTCTGTCTCTCTCAAATCAATAAATTAAAAAAAAGAATTTATTAAAAAATTTTTTTTGCCCCTTTCTGTGTGTGACCAAACAAAATAATAGGATTCACATGTTTTGTTTGACATTTTACTGAATTCAATTCAATCTAAATATCAAAGAAATATGTGGGCATGTAAACTTAAAAATTAATATTGAACAGTGCTTCTAGGAACTCTGTAGATAATTAAATATGACCTCACTCTGTGCATATCTTTTCACCCTACTTCATCAGAAACTGCTGATAGTAACAATACACTTTAGGCAGTCCATGTCTCTAGAGCTGTTGCCTTTCCTCTCCACACACAGATGCAGACAATTTCAGTGAGTTTATATTTTCATTCAGTTAGTATTTAGAAGCAAAACTCTTCAGGTGCTTTTATGATTTTTTTCTTTAAAGTCAGGCAGTTTGTAAAATTAGATTTATAGATGTTTATAATAGAGATTCTGACTAAAAGACAGCACTTGGCTTTTATGGCATATTTTTTCAAAACTTTAATGACTAAATAGTTCCCATTAAAATGAAACATTTCCTGCTTTTCATTGTGAACCAAGGATATTAAGTATATAATTATTTTAAGACGTTATTTAACGCCATTCACCTTTATCATTTAAACAGGATGATCGTTTTGCCTTCTCTAGCCTATAAGAATCCAGGGGTAAAATACAATTAATGTTTCTATATTCTAGTAATTTTCTTGTCATAGCTGTTACTTATATTTGGTGACATGATATGTTGATTAATAAGATACAACAAATCTTATAAATAAATTTTTTAGAGTAATGGTTGTTTTGAAACTCAAAAAAAATTTTTTTTGCCTCATTTCCTCCAACTCAGGCCGAAGTATCACAGGCTTTGGGGGGATAATGTTAGTGGCTCCTTTACTTGAAAACTGCTGGTTGTCATTTAGTTTAGTTTTTTTAATTTTAATTATTTTTTTAAATTAAATTTTTCTATCACCATGTATCCCCTGTAGTCCCTCTTCCACCTCCCTCCTTCCACAATCATCACACTGTTTACTTTTATTTATTTATTCATTTATTTTTGTTAACCCTCACCCAAGGATATTTTTCCCATTGATTTTTAGAGTGGAAGGGAGGGAGGGGGGAGAGCGAAAAACAGCGATGTGAGAGAGACAGACAGGGCCCAGGATCAAACTTACAGCCCAGGTACGTGCCCTTCATTTGGAATCGAACCCGTGACCCTTTGGTGCACAGGCTGACACACTAACCAGTGAACAACACCTGCCAAGGCTAATTGTTTTTAAAATTGTTAAATACTTAGTTTGAGAGAACAGAAAGGGAAACTGAGAACTGAAGCATTCATACTAATTTAAACAATTAGAACATAATTGGCACTAAAAGTTGTTTAAAATGATTATTGAACCATTAGTTTTGTTTAACCTTCTTTTGTTTGAAGTATAACTTGCCATATCCTTCATAGCCACTGAAGAAAGGGGAGAAAGAAAAGAAAAAAAGCAATTTGGAACTCTTCAAAGAAGAATTGAAACAGTAAGTTTACTAGTACGGAGATTGGCTATCAGTAGTAATACTAAGCTGATACCTACAAATGGCAGGTATGCAGAAGAATGGGGCATACCAGTTAGTTAGTTACTACTAATGGGCTTACTGTGAGGTTTTTAAAGATATTACAGTGATGTTTTGTGGGGTCTATTTGAAAATGTGTTAGCATTTCATCCAGCATCTAGGTTGCTTGCATTATGAGGATGCAATTAAATTGATTAAGGGCCGGAGTCCTGTTTGCAGTGGAAACAATATAGTTACTGAAATGTGGGGGTGAGGAATAGTTGAACTTGGCCAAGAAAGAACAAATCCTTCATTTTAATGTTGAATTTCTCCTTCACCTTAAAAGTAGGCTTTTGTAGTTCAATGATTGTGTGATATATCAGAAATTTTCTCATAACTGTTAACAACTGAGGAACTCTAATCTTATTTGAAGATGATACCTGGATAAGTTCTTTTTTTATTAAATGTGAACAAACAAATTTTGGCTCATTATTAGTGATTGTAAATATTTTCAACAGAATTCAAGAAGAGCGTGATGAAAGACATAAAACAAAAGGCAGGTTAAGTCGATTTGAGCCACCTCAGTCAGATTCTGATGGTCAACGGCGTTCCAGTAAGTGACATTTATTTTAATGTTTACATCTGTGATTACCTATTCTAAAAACTAAGAATTGTTTTCTTCTTTTTAAAGTGGATGCGCCTTCAAGAAGAAATAGATCATCTGGTGGTAATACAGTTTTTTGCTTTTTTAATTAATAGAAATTCTCTAGACTTTGCATTTTTCAGGTTATAATTTTTTTCTCTTTTTTTAGTCCTCGATGATTATGCACCTGGGTCACATGACGTGGGAGATCCAAGCACTACTAATTTATACCTTGGGAACATTAATCCACAGGTAATAATTAGAAAAGTAAGAGGAATGTTTGTTTGTTTGTTTTTATACTTTTTTGAACGAAACTGCTTTGTCAGTCAGTTAAAATAAAGTCAAGAATCTGAAGTAAGCAGATTTGATGGAATTAGAGTCTTTAAAGTTACTGTGCTGGTATGGATTCAGTTGTCTTGCATACTTCTTTAAGGGCTTGTCTTCTCTTTCTGTAACTGCACAATATGTACTCTGAATTCAAACTGTTTTACTAGGTTCTGATTTTATTTATTATATGAGGATATGGCTAGTGGTGGACGATATCCTTCTGGTGCATAGTATTTGTATTTTTTGTCTTTTATATTTTAATTCTCCACATCAGTGTTAATTATGTTATGGGAAATGTAATATTTGTTGTACATAGTATACCCTTTTTTTTTTTAATCTGTTGATTTCAGAGAGAGGAAGGGAGAGGGAGAGAGAGATAGAAACATCAATGATGAGAGAGTCATTGATCGGCTGCCTCCTGCACCCTGCAAACCCC